CCCCGCCCTAACACCAGAACCCCTGACCCTGGGGCCATGAATTTCACAATTTTGGTAGAGGCACTCTTGTTCATCATAACTATGTACTTAATTAGTTTATTTAATACTCAGGAACAGAGAAGAAGATTTTTAAAGAAATAATGCATTTTCACTATATAATCAATAGAGCCCCGCCCTAACACCAGAACACCTGACCCTGGGGCCATGAATTTCACAATTTTGGTAGAGTCACTCTTGCTCATCATAACTATGTACTTAATTAGTTTATTTAATACTCAGGAACAGAGAAGAAGATTTTTAAAGAAATAATGCATTTTCACTATATAATCAATAGAGCCCCGCCCTAACACCAGAACCCCTGACCCTGGGGCCATGAATTTCACAATTTTGGTAGAGGCACTCTTGCTCATCATAACTATGTACTTAATTAGTTTATTTAATACTCAGGAACAGAGAAGAAGATTTTTAAAGAAATAATGCATTTTCTCTATATAATCAATAGAGCCCCGCCCTAACACCAGAACCCCTGACCCTGGGGCCATGAATTTCACAATTTTGGTAGAGGTACTCTTGCTCATCATAACTATGTACTTAATTAGTTTATTTAATACTTAGGAACAGAGAAGACGATTTTCAAAGAAATAATGCATTTTCACTATATAATTGACAGAGCCCCGCCCTTACATCAGAACCCCTGACCCTGGGGCCATGAATTTCATAATTTTGGTAGAGGACTCAATGCTGATTACAATCATACCAACAGTTTGACTGCTTGATGTCCAGGAGTAAAGAAGAAGATTTTTAAAGATTGCACTAATTTTAGTGCTCTTGGCCCCACTCCCTAGGCCCAAGGGGGGCAGGGACAATGAAATTCACAATTTTCGTTCCCCTTCACCCACAGATGCTATATGCCAAAATTGGCTGAAATTGGTTCAGTGGTTTCAGAGAAGAAGCTGAAAATGTTTAAATGTTAACGCACGACGAACGACGCACGTCACACGACAAACGACGACGGACAAAAACGGATAGCAATAGGTCACCTGAGTTTACTCAGGTGACCTAAAAATGCTTGTAAAATGCAGAAAAATCATCCAATCATGATAAAAATACCACGTGCACACCTTCATATGGTGAATAATAAGTGTACAAATTTTCAGACAAATCCATAAAATAGTTTCTGAGAAACGGTCCGGACAAAATCTCGTCTACAGACAGATGGACAGCTAGACAGACGGACAGACAGACAAGCTGATTCTAATATACCCCCCTAAACTTCGTTTGCGGGGGTATAATAAGGATGGCTTCAGAGAGGCAGATTTTTGAACATCACAGGTTTACAAATTCTTTATACTCTAGAAATTTATCATTTGCATCATTTTCAATGAAATTAGGCCAAAAAATACATACAGACCCTAAACTGTGCTACTACACTTCAGAAACGAACCGTACCGTTCCGTGTAGAAAGCGTACCGTACCGTGAACAAAACGAACCGTTCCGTGCAAGAAACGAAACGTACCGTCCACAAAGCGTACCGTTCCGTGCACAAAGCGAACCGTTCCGTGCACAAAGCGTACCGTACCGTTCTCAAAGCGAACCGTTCCGTTCAAAGCGTACCGTACCGTCCACAAAGCGTACCGTTCCGTGCAAGAAACGAACCGTACCGTTCTTTGGTTAATTATGCAAACCACGCCCCCAATGATTTTTGAATCGTGTAATGACCAAATAAGTCATTTTTGGTTTATTTCTCGCTACGGCGCCTGTGAAAGAAGGACGGAGGTTGTGTCTGCCTGTTCGAAACACCATTCTCAAGTATTATGCGTCTCTGCCTTCAACTGTAAAAGTAAGGAAACTACTCGAAGCAAACTACATTTTTAAAACATCTAGACACATTGTGAGACGATTCCTTATTTGCAATTAATCAGAACAATTGGTTGTGTTTGTGGTCAAAGGTACAATACAGGCCACAAAACACGTGCCGGGCACAGTGGACCTCGAACAATGTCGGCGTCTTTGAAGTCTTTCATTTTCTTTATATTAGCAAAAAAAATCAATTTCTTTTTAAAATATTAGTTGTATTTAAATATTCGTAGTGTAACTATACGGATATTTTAACTAACATTATAAGATGCCCCAAAATTCAATATAATCGTGCTCGTGTCCGGGGAAAAAAACCCTCTTTTAATGTGTACATGTACATTCATGTTTCATATTAATCCTATAATTATATTTGACATAAAAATAGGCTCAATAGACTATAATGCCACTAAGATAGAACGCGCTTTCATGAATTAATTCCCTGGTTGTCTCTACTTTTCATTTTAATTATGCTCATTTAAATTATTAAATCTTATCAGATACAATATCGTTTTTGTCGTAAGTATTCATATGTAGTACATATCAGATGCGTGATTTTACTAATGAATATATAAATATATATATAAGTATAAATATTAATTACTTCATTCGTAAAAGACATTTCATGAAAAATTAAAAAAAACAGTTTGCGAAAAAATAAAGATATTTAAGGTTTGTTACGCTACATACCCCCATCTTCTTTCTAGAAAGCAATACGAATTAGCTGGTTAAAAGTTCTTTAGAAGTCTGCAAAATGGTACGTTGTTGTAAATAAAAAAAACATAATCTACAGGAAACATCCTTATTAGTGTCTGAAAAAGATAATTTACTAAATAAAATGAAATTAAAAAAATATCAATTCTCTTTCAAGCCTTATGAGTTATGTTTGTTAACACACACCCCCCCCCCCCCCCCCCCCTCCAGAAGGCGAATTTATGTGACTTTAAATTGTGCTTTTGTAAAAAAAAAAAAAAAAAAAATTATAATTTAGGGAAACATGCTTATTTATTTTTGTCGGAAAAAGTATAATTTAGGAAGTAAATTTGTAATCAGTGTTGTGGTGTTTGCTGGATGTTAGTTGAGTGATTAAATACACTTGATGTGGTCAGAACTAAATAATTTAAAAGGTGTGTTAAACACACGGCGCCCCCGTCCCTAGCTCCGGTGTGACCCAATATTTTTTTTAAACAGGTGTGAACTATGAACTGACCATAAGAATGTTTCAAATCACAGGAGAAATTCTTCCAGCATAAAAGGACTTTCAGGATCACCTAGCGTCATGCCATATTGATTGACAGGTGATGCACGAGAATTTCATGCTTGCAGCATGCATGTACAGAGAACGGATTATTCATTGCACAATAGTTGTAAATGGGTTGATTAAATAGAATCATAGAGTGATTAATTGTGACTTTGGCGATGTAAATAAAACGAAGAATGAGAATAAATACAAGTTATTTTTTTTACAGATGTAATGTATTAAGGGGTTGCATCTCTCTCTCTCTACCCCCCCCCCCCATTCTCTCTCTTTCATTCACGACATCGTTTTTACAGACTTTACAAGAATAGAATAACTTAATAAAAAAAAAAAGGAAAACTTATTTAAAATAATTACTTAATACACTGAAAGGATTATTGAAAACATATATAAATACTTGTCTGTGAAAAGAATGTATTCTGTTACGAGAAAGCACTCGGAAGTTATTGTATTGATTTCGTGTTTCTGCTGCTGATTTTCGTATTTATTTTGTTTACTGATATTTCTCTTCTGAAGCAAACGTTTAAACGATAGATCTACAATTTTAAAAAATAAAAAAACAATGTGCATATCTAATTACTAGGAGTAAAAATGAAGCAGGAATAGTCATATTTATTTCTATAGATCAATCAATTAAAAATAATTTAATATATATTTGCGTAGCGTTATATGTATAGAACAAGTAAATACCCGGTATATCAATTCCTTTTAATTATGTTACTACTTTTTATTTTAAAGTGAAAAAAAAATTTAATTTAATTTTTTTTTCCTTTTTTAAAATGAAGGTTCAGCAAACGTTAAAAATAACCACGGAAATATTTACGAGTTCTACATAATAATAATGTATCTTCATAATGCCAAAGACATCGGTGGGATGATAGTTTTTCTTTCTTTCATTTCTTTTTCTTCATTCTTCCTCCATCACCGCTGTAGTGTAAATTTATATACTAGTATGTTTAAATTGAAACCGAGAAATTAATTTGTTAATAGCGGAAATATAATAATATACATGCATTAATTATAAGAACTTCAGAAGTCATTTAAAATGAATTTATTTTTAGCAGCCAATCAAGAATTAAAGCTAACAGACTCCGCCTACTCCATTTGCATACCGTTTCCCAAAGCGTACCGTTCACAAAACGAACCGTTCCGGGCAAGAAACGAAACGTATCGTCCACAAAGCGTACCGTTCCGTGCACAAAGCGAACCGTTCCGTGCACAAAGCGTACCGTACCGTTCACAAAACGAACCGTTCCGTTCACAAAGCGTACCGTTCCGTGCACAAAGCGTACCGAACCGTACCGTTCAAGTGGTGTAGTAGCACGGTTTAGGGTCTGTACCAATCCAGGCATCCTGATTTTTTTGTTTGTATCATCTGCTCTTAATTCTTCCACAGTCTTACCTCAATTGTGAAAAAGAAAGCTTTATAATTGTTTTTAAAAGCCCTCATGGCCCTGAAATTGAGATCATGGAAAATTTTGTCTATTTATACTGCCATTTTGGTTTGCAAGATAATTCGGTCAAACACGCTTTGTGCAGATGTAAACTACGAAAGTACTTGATAGAGGAGTAAGGACTTTTTTGAAATCTAGCTTTTTTGCAATTGAGGTAAGTAATTTGAAGAATTAATCAGAACAGAACTTTTTTGTGTGCAACAGATATACAGTTTTTTCAATGGGTGGCACTGTCGCTCTCCCGTCTGTCAATACATATTTTTTCGGAGAGCTACAGTTCTGCAGCTAGTGAACTGACAGACTGACTGACAGACCGATTGACAGATCAACAATTTAATAAAATAATGAACATGTAGGATTTTCCCTCATGATTTTGCAAGGTAATTTTTTGGAATTTGTATGACACGTAAGTAAATATATTATATGTACTTACCACATTGTAGAAAACATTCATTTAAAGGCCATAAAAAAGAACTGCAGGGACACATCACTACATCAACAATCAAGGACTCTGCATGTCCTGCAATATGATGAACTCGGAAATATGGTGAATTCTGTGGATCTTTCTCATTTTTCAATATCCAACAGTTAGCCAACTGTGGTTCAAGAGTCTTCCTCAAAACTGTGCAGTGAAATTTTCTTTCAAGTTGCTTTTCATTAAAATCAGTCTGTTCATGGTTCATGACAAGCTCTGTCTCTACAGCTTTCTTTAAGCTTCTTTTATACTTTTCTTCCCATTCTGTTGGGTTTTTATCATTTAAGAAATCAGATAGAGCTTCTATTATGTCATTTGTTGCCAGTAAAACTACAACGTCTTCTGTATTTAGTCCTTCATATAAATATTTGCCTTCCCAATATTTTTTCTCCATCTTCTTAAATATTTCTGACTGTAATCTTTCCTTTAATTCATCTGTATACCCAAATTCCATTGTTTTAAGAGCATCTCTCAAAATTGTTTCAGCTCTCTTTGCTTCATTCTGATTACACGCTATAATATTCAAACAACTGCGCGACTCAGCTTCATACAAGGCATTAACTTTTGATTCTTTCAACATGGCATCCACATATTTTTTAACTTTTGGCATATCCAATAATTTTGTGTCAATGTCCAAATATTTGCCTTCTGAATGCAACTCGTTCAGAAATGCCATCTTTTTCTCTTGCAAGGATTCCAATTTTTTCCCCCATAGTTTAATTGCTTTAAGCTGTGTTGGGGTAAATATTGAATCATTTAAACACTGAGGATTTCTATACTTTTTCACTTCTGAAAATATCTCATCAGCTATAGGTTTTATTGCTGCAAAAGAAATTAAACCTAGCTTTCTTTCCACTTTCAAAGTTTTGTCTCCTATTCTTTCTTTCAATTTCTGAAATGTTGGTGTAGTAAAATAAAAGTACCCCAACTCATGAACAGAGACTTCCCCTTGAATGAAACATTCTTCTATTGCTCTAGATACTTTCTCCATACTTGATGGGTGTGCAAAAATACGTACAGTTCCTGAATTTGCACGTCTCCAGTGTCCAAAAGATTCTCTTTTCTTTAATTCATCTTTCAAAAAAGAACTGCCCTCTTCTGTAAAAAGAAGTTCAAGGACTTTGGAATCTAAAGGCAATGTTTGTGACTTTATACTAGAGAGGAACAGATTCATTTCCTCTTCAATTTTATTTTTGTCCTCCGATGAACAACAACTTTCCAAATAAAATTCTGACCCAGTATCTGTATACTTAAAGTCCACCGTCCTTGATTTGTTCTTTTCCATGAAGTAATCTTTGAAATTAAGTTCTTCTAAAAATATTTTATGATCTTTGCTGTCTATTTTAATTCTCCATTGTTTAACAGCTGTTCCTGATTGGTTATTATTCTCCTGCATTCCAAATGAAGAAGTGCTTTCCCCTGAAGTCATTTTATTTTTTCTATCTTTTCCATCCTGTCCTGTGGACTCTAAAATAAAAGAAAAGAAATTTTTACTGAGCAGATTATCAAAAAACCTGAAAACATCACTGGAAAATGAAATCTACATAATAAAATATTTAAAAGTAGACAATAACCCACTACCTTTGCATACCTAGTGTTTTAAAAATAGTTTGGGTAATTCAATTTGATAAATATTAGCAATAAGCTCTGAGAATTGTATGCTACATCACTATGAGGAAACAACTTTTTCTGAAAAAAAGGGTTGTCCCTTAGAATTGAAATAGCAGGGGACATTATAACAAGAGGCCCATGAACCACAAAGCTCACCTTAGTAATGTGGCTAGGAAAAAATAGAAATTGGCTCAGTACTGAATACACAAGTGGCCCCTGGATCTACATTCTAGGGGTCTATGTGTTGAAAAACTTTAATACTTGAATCTACACTAACTAACTATAAAGGATGTTTGAATATTTTCTGACTAACTGCAATTTTTTTTAAACTTAAACTTTAAAAATTGTGCCCCCACCCATTCTGCCCCTGGTCATGATTTGAACAAATCTAAATCTACACTACCTGAAGATACTTTCATATATTTCCATTTCACATTGTTTTCTCTATGATAAACACTACAAAAGTGAATCTTGTTAATTTCATGGTAATACCTGTGGTATGTATATTTCTACAACTACTGAAAGGGCAACTGTCAACCTGCATGTATATCACTGCCGTAGAAATACACTAAAGAAAACATAGATGTTTTGTTTAATTGTTCACTAAGTAATTAGATATGATATATCTTTCAACAAAAAAAAAAAATATGAATTATCTTCGGATCAAAAGCAAGTCACTAGCGTAAAGCTGTCCAATACCACCGAGGCCTCACGAGACCGAGAACTCCACTTCCGTAAACATGGTAAACAGCCCATCTGAACCACGTGGAGAAATCAGCATTGCCACATAGATCTGTACTCCATCATCTGATACAGACATCGTCCCTCAGTCATTACAATCTAACTTCTTAAGCAACTCAACTTAATTCCTCTGCTATTTTAACATCCACACAAATCTGTTTCCTGACCATGCTGACCAACTCCCGTTTCATCAACTGCAATATTGCATTCAATATGGCGGCAGAGAAGTGAAATAGGGCCTATAGACTTCACTTTCATCAAACTTTGGCAGACTTTTGATACGATTCTAGATAATTTTAATCACTGTACAGTGGGCTCTTAAATATTTTCTGATAATTGAAAAAAGACCCAGGGGGTGCGTATAGGGGCAGGGGCAGTTAATAGGGATTATACGGTATTTCAAGTAAAAATGGAAATATAGGGAATCACTGTCCAGTTAGGAGACTATGCCAGGGACATCAACAATTAAGAAATAAATAACAAGTTTATAAACTTCAATGGGAATTGAAGTGGGTGGTCATGTGATCAAATCCTGTGAAGGCCGAAGGCCTTCTCAGAAGATTTGATCACGTACCGACCCACTTCATTCCCATTGAAGTTTATAAACTTGTTATTTATTACTTATATATACATTTGAGATGGAAAATTAAATATATTCAGATTTAAATATTGCACTAACAGGTTGCCGTAGATTTCCGACAAAAGTGCGCAAGGTGTAAATCGGCTTGAAAGGCGGGTATGCTTCGAATTCATCAGGCTAAGGATTCTATTTCGAAGGGAATATTTTGTTAAAGGCTACTTGTGATCAGTAATAGTGAACAGATTGTTGTCTGGGAATATTTTTATTTGTGAAAAATGATTATAAATGCTGAAAAGACACAAGAAACACGTCCGAAGTTTGATGATAAAAAGTTGGAGGAATTTCGGACGCCTGAAAGGGATGGATGGATCTGATGGATGGAGACACTTGTCCGAGCCAGTTAATTTGCAAACAAGTATTAAATTTGATCAAAAACATTCAATCTACGATTTCACTAACTAAAGCCATATTTATGATGTAAACACGGAGACACTGGCGACAGCTTACATTGAACTACGACAGCACCGATCGAGGTTTTTGTCAGCTGTTCGTGACGAGATTGCAATGCTTTGATATTTTCCAACAGATTTACACATTTATTGTGAGTAGAATTTAATTAAACAAGAGGCCCAAGGGCCTTGAATTCTTCTGATAAATTGTACAATCTATCACTTCTATTAGAAGCCTCCAACTCTATTAGTATCATAAGACCCAAAATGCATTATTACTTACAAAGTTTGATATCTAGCCAGTTAAGACTGAAGATATTATGATATAATTATAAAATACCATAAGTAGGTCACAGTGACCTACCTTTTAATTGAAATTTTCTGAGAACTCAAGATACAGTAATTGACAAAGACTGATGATTCTAATTAAATAAGTACCTGAGATATTCAAAAGTAGGTCACCATGACCTACTTTTTGGTCAACATTCTCTGAAAACCCAAGATGCATAATCTGACAAAGTTTGACGATTCTAAGCCAATTAGTACCAGAGATAATTAAATATAGCCATCAAATGTCAAAAGTAGGTCACGGTGACCTACTTTTTGGTCAACATGCTTCCAAAAACCAAAGATGCATCAAACTGACAAAATTTGATGATTTAAGCCAATAAGTACCTGAGATATTCAAAAGTAGGTCACCTTGTCCTTACTTCTTGTTGGACATTCTCCGAAAACCTAAGATGCCTCAACTGACAAAGTTTCATGATTCCAAGCCAATAAGTACCAGATATAATTAAATATAGCCACCAAATCTTTCCTGGCACAGTGGTTCTTGAGAAGAAGATTTTTAAAACATGCCACCAAATTTTCATTAATTCCCAATTACAGGCAACTCTTGATGGCTCAAACTTCGATCTCTCGAAGTTCTTGATCGCTTGAAGTGAGTCTCCGGTCCCAATTTTTTTCCCTATATAACTAAGCAATTTAACTCTTGATTTCTCGAACTCTTGATCTCTCGAAACCCTTGATCCCCCGAAGTTAAAATGCAGTCCCGCTATGCATATTCTTTTGAAATTTACCCTCAATACCTCGAAGTGGCTATGTGTATACAAGTTACATAATTAGCAACTTTACCTGGACATTTAATGGTCCTAGGCAGAAGACTCGGGGCTCGTGAAATGGGATGTTTATTCATGTGACACTTATACTTCAAGGTGATAATTGATTTATGATTAATCTTATGTTGCTTATATGCTATTAAAAAAATTATCATCGACTGTATTACAATAACGTAGAAACGCAGTGTCACTGAGAAATTGTAATTGCAAATTACAAGACGAAACACTTAGTAAATTTAGTTTTTATATTGAGTCAGTTTCAAAGTTTAATGAAATATGAAACTGCAGAAACAGCCTCAGTGTCAATATAATGACTGTTGTTGGACAAATACATACAGATATCTGTTCAATGCACGTCTTTCAAAAAATCACAATGCTATATGTACCACGCGGTGCTGTAAAATGTCGTTTTCATTTAACGAATGCTTAGTATGACGTCCGTATCATAAAGAATAAAAAAATTAAACATTCTGGCCAAGTGGTTCTTGAGAAGAAGATTTTCAAAGATTTCTATTTATTTATTCTATATATATTTCTATGTAAAACTTTGATTCCCCATTGTGGCCCCGCCCTTCCCCCAGAGGTCATGATTTTAACATTTTAGAATCTACACTACCCCAGGATGCTTCCACATAAGTTTCAGCTTTTCTGACCCAGTGGTTCTTTAGAAGAAGATTTTTTTAATGACCACACCCTATCTTTGTCTTTTCTTGATTATCTCCCCTTGTGAGGGGACTTGGCCCTTTATTTTAACAATTTAAATTCCCCTTCACCCAAGGATGCTTTGTACCAAGTTTGGTCAAAATTGGCCCAGTGGTTCTTGAGAAGAAGTCGAAAATGTGAAAAGTTTACAGATGGACAGACAGCTTAAGACAGACGGACGGACGGACGGACGACGGACAAAACGTGATCAGAAAAGCTCACTTGAGCCTTCGGCTCAGGTGAGCTAATAAATATTCACCTAAAATATGAAATCATATCTCTGTTTTATAAAAACCATGTGTGCAAAGTTAGCACTGCATAAAAATCATTACATCCGGTAGGACTAATTCTAAAACCAGCCAAACAAACCCGGAAAATTCCGAACTCTTGATCTCTCAAAGTTTTTCCTCGGTCCCGCAGACTTCAAGGTATCGAGAGTTACCTGTATCTTCCCTTGAACGAGGGCGTGGCCCTTCATTTGAACAAACTTGAATCCCCTCCACCCAAGGATGCTTTGTGGCAAGTTTGGTTGAAATTGGCCCAGGGTTCTTGAGAAGAAGTCGAAAATGTGAAAAGTTTACAGACAGACAGACAGACGGACAGCTAAACTGACAGACAAACAGATGGACACCGGACAAAATGTGATCAGAAAAGCTCACTTGAGCCTTTTTTAAAGATTTTACCCATATATTCCTATGTAAAACATTGGCCATCCATTGTGGCCCAGACCTCAGGGGTCATGATTTGAACAAAGTTGAATTTTTACTACCTGCTCTTAAGGACACGAATGCAAGGCGTCACATGATCGACTCATGTGGTGATTTGAAAAAGAATGTTTTCTGAAACCATTTCCAGAATAAGAAGCGTAATATATGATGGCGTTCAGGAAACAAGAGGCTCAAGGGCCTTGAATCGCTCTTCTTATAAATTGTACAATCTATCACTTCTATTAGAAGCCTCCAACTCTATTAGAATCATAAGACCCAAAATGCATCAACTTACAAAGTTTGATAATATTTAGGCAGTTTAGACTAAAGATATTATGATATAATTATAAAATACCATTAGTAGGTCACAGTGACCTACCTTTTGATTGAAATTTTCTGAGGACTCAAGATACATTAATTGACAAAGACTGATGATTCTAATTAAATAAGTACCTGAGATACTGTAAACCAACTTTTATTCGCGACAACTTTATTTCGCGATTTACCGGGGTAAACTAGTTCGCGATGATTAATTTTCATGTTTAAGCTTATTTAGACTCTCTTGTTTATAGACACATAGACTTTAAGAACCGACAAGAAATATTCCCGATGACAAGGCTCTCGCGAACTTCGCGAAAAATTCTCGCACGCGAATAAAAGTTGGTTTACAGTATTCAAAAGTAGGTCACCATGACCTACTTTTTGGTCAACTTTCTCTGAAAACTCAAGATACATCATCTGACAAAGTTTGACGATTCTAAGCCAATTAGTACCAGAGATAATTAAATATAGCCATCAAATGTCAAAAGTAGGTCACGGTGACCTACTTTTTGGTCGACGTTATTCAAAAACCCATAATGCCTAAATTGACAAAATTTGATGATTCTAAGCCAATAAGTACCAGAGATATTCAAAATTAGGTCACCATGACCTATGTCTTGTAGGACATTCAATGAAATCCTAAGATGCTTCAACTGACAAAGTTTGATAATTCCGAGCCAATAAGTACCAGATATAATTAAATATAGCCATAAAATGTCAAAAGTAGGTCACAGTGACTTTTTGGTCAACGTTCTCCGAAAACCCAAGGTGCCTAAACTGACAAAGTTTGATGATTCTAGGCTTATACGTACCTGAGATATTCAAAAGTAGGTCACTGTGACCTATTTTTTGGTCGACATTCTCTGAAAACCCAAGATGCCTCAACTGACAAAGTTTGATGATTCTTAGCCAATAAGTGCCTGAGATACTTAAATATAGCCATAAAATGTCAAAAGTAGGTCAGTGTGACCTACTTTTTGGTTGACGTTCTCCGAAAACCAAAGATGCATCAACTGACAAAGTTTGATGATTTTAGGTCAATAAGTACCAGAGATACTTAATTATAGTCACAAAATGTCAAAAGTAGGTCACCATGACCTACTTTTTGGTCATCACTCTCCGAAAACCCAAGATGCATCAACTCACAAAGTTTGATGATTCTAAGCCAATAAATACCCAAGATACTTAAATATAGCCATAAAATGTCGAAAACAGGTCAACGTGACCTACATTTTGGTCGACATTTTTCAAAGACCCAAGATGCATCTACTGACCAAGTTTGATGATCGTAGGTCTGAAGGTAATCAAAATATGCGTTTTAAACAATTTGAAAACAAATGTCAGCAAAATTCAAAAAGTAGGTCACAGTGACCTACTTTTCCATAAGTATGTTTTAAGGTCCCAAGATGCATCAAAGTACAAGATTTGATGATTCTAAACCTCCCAGTGTCTGAAATAATGGGATTTAATGTTTTTAAAAGGATAAGTCATAAAGTTCAAAAAGTAGGTCATGGTGACCTACTTTTAAGTTGACATTGTTTGAGGACCCACTTAGATGCATCAACTGACAAAGTTTGATGATCATAGGCCTTAAAGTGTCCAAAATATGCCTTCTAATCAATTTGAAAACAAATCCCCGCAAAATTTAAAAAGTAGGTCACCGTGACCTACTTTTGAGTTAACATGATGTGAAGTCGTAAGATGCATCAACTTACAAGAATTGATGATCCTAGTCCTCATAGTAAGTGACCTTGAGACCACGCCCTTTGCCCCAGGGTAATTCCCCGTGCAAATTTTAATCTTCGACATATCCTGATCCTTGTATGTAAGTTTGGTGAAAATCTGCCTGGTGGTTATGGAGAAGAAGATTTTTTAGCAACCAGTACTTTTGGTTTTGTTTTCCTGATTATCTCCCCTTGTTTAAGGGTCCCAACCCTTATTTTAGTACAAATGGTAGCCCTTGGGCCAAGGATACCCTGTGACAAATTTGGTACTGATTGGCCAAGGGGTTCTTGAGTTATGGCCCATATTCTAAAAAGTTTACGCACACCGCACAAATGGCCATAGCATTAGCTCTTTGAGCCTTTGGCTCAGAAGAGCTAAAAATGGGTATAATTTTCTCAAACAAAGAAAGAATAAGATGTAAAAGGTTGTGACTATGCACTGAGATTGTGCATGCGCATTGACATGTACGAGGGTTGTCCCGTAAAATCATGGACAAGTTGTCTCGCATGAATAATTGTATCGCCTTACGGCGCACGGATGATAACGTCAAAGTGCCTAAAACACCGTCAGGTACCTCAAGTTTCATCTTTGCACTAAAAATAAAGTTGGATAAGTCCATCTTTAATTTCGAAATTTCATTGAAGCACAAACTTAAGTCTCAATAAACAATTGAGGAACCAATCTGGCACAAATGTACAATCTTCTGACGATTTATTACTAAGATACGGACAATATTCCAACATCATTCAATTAATAGACAATCTTAAATAAACGCGGTCAACATTGATAGCTTCTTTAGCTATTACAACAGTAGTTTGTCTGTATGTCTTGTCATTTATATACTAAAGATTTGGCAATTTGGGGGGATTTTTTTCTTCTGTATTCATTTAAAGTTTTATACGGCGTTATCACACCATCTAAATCATATCGAACTGATCCCCGGTGCGCCGTAACGTCACCAAACGTCAAATTTTTTTGTGTGTTGTGCTTACCACTTTCCCATTTCAAATGTTCAGAAAACAGTCAAAAATTGACCAAATGCACTGAAAATTTTAAAAAGACAACAAAATAAATTGTGGAATTGAATAAGGATAATTTTTACCCTAATCTTATCTATTTAAATCCTTTGTTTCAAATCAATACTCCTGTATACTCTTATAAAACTTTGTTTTTTGACCATGCGCCGTAGGGCCTTACCCTGTGCACTTTCAAGCATTATAAAATCTATATTTTTGTGTGTATTTCATCCAAAACATTATAATTAACTTAAAAATGATAAATAAACATTCAATGAAAATTTCAGCTTATTACGTCCATTATTTTTCGAGAAAAACGCTTTGTCCACGATTTTACGGGACAACCCTCGTATATATATATTTTTAATCCACGTGCATGTTTTATGATTTGAAACATCTAGCTATTGTATATCTCTGAATAGCTGCTGAACATCGAAATCTATTTCATTAACAAATTTAATTTATATTTGGATCTTTATATCTAGTTTTAATTTTAATATTATAATGAATCAATCATGACCAATCATGGGTTTACTCTTCTCGATAAAAAGATTTTTCCTATGTATTCTTATGTTTAACTTTGATACCCCATTGTGGCCCCACCCAACCCTGTTGATCATGCCTTGAACAAACATGAATCTACACTACATGTGGATGCTTCCTCAAGAGTTTCATCTTTCCTGGCCCAGTGGTTCTTGAAGATTTTTAAAAGATTTTCCCATGTATTTCTATGTTAAACTTTGATATCCCATTGTGGCCCCAACCTACCCCGAGGGGTCAGGATTTAAACAAACTTGAATCTACACTACATGAGGATGCTTCCACATGAGTTTCAGCTTTCCTAGGACAGTGGTTCTTGAGAAGATTTTAAAAGATTTTTCTATATACTGTAGAAGTACTTTTTTCCGCGTGGTATTAATTAATGCTATGTACGCGATCACAAATTTTCCGCTGAAATTTGTCCAAGCGTACTGAATATAAATGTAAGGCATATAGTGACATTCTAGAAAATCTGCATAATTTTCTACCCGCGGATTAAACAGAAATTGAGATTCCGCGGAATTATGACCCCTTGGAAAAAAGTACGTCTACAGTATTTCAATGTAAAACTTGGACTCCCTATTGTGGCCCTGCCCTCAGCCTGGGGGTCATGAATTGAACAATTTAGAATTGACACTAACCCAATGCTTCCACATAAGTTTCAGGCCCAGTGGTTCTTGAGAAAAAGATTTTACAAGATGTGTTTGTGAAACACTATGCATACCAAATATGAAGTTTCTATCTCCTATGGTTCAAAAGTTGTGGCAAAAGTTCGAAAAATCTATTTTAAACATATTGGTCACAGTCAAAGAACTTAATTAGTGGAGTATGCATAACAAATATGAAGTCTCTATCTCCAAAGATTCTCAAGTTATGATGAAAGTTCAAAAAAGCTATTTCAGGATATAGGTCACAGTCAAGGTCACAAGGTCATTGACCTAATGACCTTGGTGTCATTTGAAAGAGTTTAATTAGTGTAGTATGCATACCAAATACAAAGTCTTTATCTACTATGGTTCACAAGTTATGGCAAAAGTTCGAAAAAAGCTATTTTTAGCATATAGGTCACTGTCAAAGTCACAAAGTCATTGACTTTGGTGTCATTTGAAAGAACTTAATTAGTGTAGTAGGCATACCAAATATGAAGTCCCTATCTCTCATGGTTCAAAAGTTATGAAGAAGATTAAAGTTGACAACAGATTAACAGACAAACAAACAGACAGGACAAAAACAATATACACCCCGATCTATCCATCTGGGTGCATAAAAATTGATCCATATATGGCCCATATTTGAAATAGTTTACGCATTAGCTTTTTGAGTCTTTGACTACTATTTGACTACTTTAACACTGTCTAATTTTCATGAAGTTAATCATTCACACAGACAAAAATCATATTTCCATGTATCAACATGTTATTGGTAAGTATTACCTCTGCCTTCCAAGTTTGGTTCTCTTTTAGAAGGAGGATTCCATGTTTCATCTTCAATTTCACTAGACTCTAAAAAGAAAACAAAAAATCATTTATAATTGTCATATCTAAATACATGTAGTATTTTTCACATCAGAATTTTTTTCCGCTGGTTGATTTTTTTACAGACTAGCAGAAATTTTCACTTGGAGTACAATGTACCTTTTCTTTCGAGTTTTACAGATCTTGCTGTATAATTTCTCATTATAGTATCTAGAGAACCTTGCACAAATAAAACAAACATTCTGCAGTAATTCTTTATCATAATGTTATCATATTCATAGTTCTTCATTCTTGGATTCACTTTGAATCCTAGATTTTTACCTCCCTTTCTTCATCATAAAAAAAACAAGAGGCCCATGGGCCACATCGCTCACCTGAGTAACTTGGGTGATGCAGTTCTTTACCAGATTTCCCCTCTTGCTATACCTATCATGCCCCCTACCACCTCCCTTTTCATGATTTTAATACTTTAGAATCTACACTACCCAAATTAGGATGCTTCCACATAAGTTTCAGCTTTCCTGGCCCAGTGGTTTTTGAGAGGAAGATTCTTAAAAGACTTTTCCTACATATATCTATGTAAAACTTGGATTCCCTATTGTGGCCCAGCCCTACCCCCGGGGGTCATGATTTTAACAATTTAATATCTACACTACACAAGGATGCTTCCACATAAGTTTCAGCTTTCCTGGTCTAGTGGTTCTTGAGAAGATTTGTTCTATATATTTCTATGTAAAAGTTGGATTTCCTATTGTGGCCCCACCCTACCCCCGGGGGTCATGATTTTTATAATTTAATATCTACACTACCCAAGGATGCTTCCACATAAATTTCAGCTTTCCTGGCCCAGTGGTTTTTGAGAAGAAGATTTTTTAATGACCCCACCCTATTTTTGTCTTTTGTTGATTATCTCCCCTTGTAAGGGGACTTGGCCCTTCATTTTAACAATTTAAACTCCCCTTTACCTAAGGATGCTTTGTACCAAGTTTGGTTAAATTTGGCCCATTGGTTCTTGAGAAGAAGTCAAAAATGTGAAAAGTTTACAGACAGACGGACAGCTAGACAGACGGACGGACAGACGGACGACGGACAAAATGTGATCAGAAAAGCTCACTTGAGCCTTCAGCTCAGGTGAGCTAAAAATGCAATGTAACTTGTTTTCTATGATTTCCCACGGAAATTTTGATGACTTTTAGCAGTTAAGTAACATTTATGATGTAAATTATTTATTTCATTTGGTGTGTAGTTTGTTCTAAGATGTTACACCTACTGTAAACATATTACATTTAATTAGTGGTGTATTTTTTAAATTAGCAATTTTGGCATCTTCGCTAGTCAAGGGTTTCTGAAATGCTAATCTCCTCGTGAACCCTTGGCATACGGTGAAGTCAAGACGGGATTGTTTTTGTCATGTGATCTCGAATCTACCAGGTACGCACAGATTGCATTAAAGACAAACAGACATGCAGACAGACAGATAGATGGACAGAAAGACAGACAGACAAACAGGGCAAAAAATACACACCCTGCATAAAAACATTCCAATCTGAAATGTAAACTTTAAACACTAACTAACATGCACATAGGAGGAAAGTCACTGGAAATTTGATGGAAATACTTGCAGATATCGTGATTACTTAACTTAGCGGAACTCTTTCGCGATTGAGATAGGAAACCTCTGTTGGATGGGGGCAAATGTGCTATTGAATTAGGGGTTAACGATGCGCCTCCTTCATGGTTCGATACGTATCGAAAAATTTGGTCTCGGTTCGGTTATTTTCGATACGATACATTTTGATAGAAGGAAACAAATTCAACTGTTGTTTTATCCTTCTTTTTATTTAATCAAGTTAAAGAATTTATGTGCAAAATGGAAAGAATTAATCAATTTATTTGATTTGACTGTTAAAAATTATTTTACAAACTTCAAGTCCAAAAAAATTTATGTTTTTGAAATAATTATACAGAGGAGCATGTTTATACCTTATGCCAAACCCGACTGAATGACGATCCCGACCGATAAACAAACCGAACCGAAAGTAGAGATTTTGTACCATGTACAGAACCGAGAAAAAATACCGCGGTGAACCGTTTCACTCCTATATTGAATACAATGCAAGATCAATCATTGTAGAATAAGTAAAAAATTCTGGTGGAATACCTTGCTAAACAATCGCTAAACCAGCCTAATTAATTTTTGAGAAGAGCTAATCCTAAAATGTTTAATTATTTATGATGTTTTTAACTAAGCGGACTCTTCTCATTAAATTTTCAATGAAAATCATCACATTTTAAAGCTAATAAAATATTCTAAACTTTCCTTATTTGACAATCTACTATTTGGAGTTCAATCCTTGGCAATACATTGTACTTTCGCATAAAATTGTTCAAATCATTCAACTGTCACTACCATGTGCCCCAGCAATCTTGCAAGATTTAGAGCTTTCTCAAATCCCCCGCAAAAGAGTGGTAGTAAATTAGATAACTGCGAGGTACTCACAATATTACGTATTTGTTGTGTTTTTTTCCGATTGAAGTAAAGTGATCAATGGAGAAAATAATTGGGTATATGACAGAGTGGGTGTTGCAATGTTAGTCCTACTTTGTAATGTAAGAGTTAGTCTACATGGTCTAATGATTTAGGAGTGTATCTACTGGAATGGACCATGTGCTCTAATAATTTTCATTGGTAATATTACTGCAGAAAAGAGCAGAGAAATATTGAGTAACTGAAAATTAGGGCTGGGACGATACAACTTTTTCTATATTGATATGTATCATGATATTTGAACCATGATACAATATGTATTACAATATGTTTAATTGCTTATAAAATCTTTTTTTGCATTGAAATAAACAAATTATTTCTTTGCAAATGAGAATAATTTATTCAAAATAGTTGTTTATATGTTATAAAACAAAAATGTTTTACGCAAGTGGTATTCTGTTATTTATTTCATATCTATATTTATATTTTAAATTAGCTTATGTATTTTACCGGTATATATTAAACCCAAAATCTAAATAAACAAAGAAAAACAGAAGTCAGATTTTTTGGGGCGATATTTCGATTTTTCTTCATATAAATTGATATGCGTATCGTCCTCAGAGATATCTTGATATATCAAAATCTCAATATATAGTCCTAGCCCTATTGAAAATGAACTGTAGCTAGTTGATGCCCAGCATTTCTCAATAATGACTTTATCTTTTTTAAAGATGACAACAAAGCCATTGTATCATTGATCATGCGAGGACTTTACTAAATTACAAACTGAAAATAATGTTCATAACATATACCTCTTTTATCATGGTTATTCTGCTGTCTGTGATGTAGAGATCCAGATCCAGCTTCCGCTCCTCTCCCAGTAATATCTGAAATTAATCATTTCATGCTCACAAACAAAAACCAGAAGTCTATGTCGAAACTGTAGCTCTACTGGTGTGTACTTATAACAAAGGAAGAAAAAAGTAGCAGTTCAAAGTTGGACTTAAAACATTGCAACATCAATTAGTAGAATAATGATCCTTGATTTAAATTAGCCTCTGTGTCAAATTGTGTGACAAATTCAGATTGCAATTAGACTAAAACTATAGGAGGAGCAGCATCATTCAAAATATGATAAAGACATAATAGGGGAGAAACGATACGCCTCCTTCATGGTTCGATACATATCGTAAAATTTGGTCTCAGTTCGGTTATTTTCAATACATTTTGATAGAAGGAAATAAATTCAACTGTTGTTTTAAGCTTCCTTTTACTTATTCTAGTCAAATAATTTATGTGCAAAATAGATAGTTTAAATCAATTTCACTGATTTGACTGTCAAATATTATTTTATCAAACTTTAAATCCACAAAAATTTACGCTTTTGAACTAATTAAATGGAGGAGCATGTTTATACCTTATGCCAAACCCAATTGAATGACAATCCCAACCGAAAAACATACCAACCGAAAATAGAGATTTTTTACTGTGTATCGAACCAAGAAAAATACCGCGGTGAACCATTTCACTCCTACCATTATATATCTCAGTGAAGTCTGCTTACATGCCATGTTTTTAATATCAAAATCAAACCAATTAGTAGATCCTACAAATTGGTTTGATTTTTATATTAAAAACATGGCTGGAGAAGTATTGAGAAAGTATTTCATAGAAATTCTATTTTTAGTAACAATGGCAACACCATTCAAAAAAATCAAAAACCGATATTCTGAATTATATATCTTAGTGAAGCTACTTTAGTTATAATAATCTAAGTGTGTCTCAGGACAAGCCCTCACCTCCCATATACTTGCAATGTAGCAAATCAGAGCAGATCCGCTCCGAAATGATTTTCAAGAAAACAAAAGGGGTAAGGCCATGCAAAGTTAATTCCTTGGTTCTCAGGCCTCTTTTCCCTACTTGTTTTGCAGTCATCTTGAAACTTATTGATCTCATTATGTAGCACCAAAGTAATGCTTACATGTAAATATTTTGACAACTTATTTACATTCATCTGGAGTCTAATTTTTCCCGCTTCTGAATATATTGGTCACTGTGTATATAAAAGCACATGCATTTGAACTAAGTGCTTTCCCATAGTTCATAAAGTAAATAAACAAAAGAAAATAAACATTGATAATGTTAATTACATGTTTCATTTCAGCATATTAATGAATCTTTTTTATGTCAGAACATCAATGCTATTTAAAGATCGACCCGTGAATGTTGGAAAAACCCACATATGCATTAACAAGTGTATTGTATAGCGTTTCTCTATATTATATACTGTTACTCTAGAGATGGCGGAATAGAGAAAACACTATGGTAAAATAATCCGCTATTTATTAGTGCCCACAGTTATAACATACAATATAGATTACAATAATGGCGGAGCTGACAGAGACACGTCTGTACTTTGCAGCATGTAACAGAAAAGAGAGCGAGGATAGGTATACGTCACGACAGGTGCTGTGACGTATACCAAGTGATCGGAGGTAGCAGGGCAACTCGTGCCCAGTACCTCCAGGACCACCACATTCCTCCCCATTTTGAAAAAGGGCGTCCCAGCCCGTTACACAAGGACAAACTATCATGTACATAAAAATTCACAATTATAACTTAGCGGGGCCTAACATATTTAAAGTCAATTAAACATAATCAGTATAACATTTACATAGATAAACAAGCAAGCATATAATAATACAATATCAATATTACATATTTGAGCATTAATGTCCATAATAAAAATTATAAAATAAATAGAAATTAACAGTTAATATCACAGCTCACAGAATCTCACGTCCGTTCCTGGTCCTGGGCGCCTCTCGTCCGAGTCTTCTCGGGTCCACCTCTGGGTCCTCCGGGGTCGTCCTCGTCAGGTGGTTCCTCGGCGACTTCTCCGGTCGGCATCTCCAGATCCGGACATCCAGGTCCAGGACAGACATGATGTCTAGCATGACATCACATCCACGACTCCGTCGCGAACGCTTAATCCTGTAACTGGCTCACCAATGGATCCTCCTTGGAACATCAATGGTAAATAAAAAATCAGGAACACCAAGGATCGATCATAAAAGCAGGGAAATATCCCTGAATAATATAAGGAATCGGCTTCCCTAGCAGTAGGAACAAACATATTTACAATCCAGCTAAAAATAGCTGCACATAACCCCGCATCCTTGCGGGACACAAACTAGTCGCGACCAACATCGATGGGACTGCATTCGGGGCAGATATATTGAGGTACTGATTTAGCATAATCCTCACTTATACCTACACACCCAGGATGAAACCAGTCCCGACAGTTGTCGCACTGCACCATCATCCCTTTGGGATTAGACTGTGAGCACACACAATATTTCCTGGTTTTAGCTCCCCTGGTAGCTCTAGGTCTCTTGGGCGACTGAGGTTGTTTAGATTGATCTAGTCTTTCCCTAACCCGCTTACGAGTACCCATATACGGACCTGACTCCGCTGGCTTGGAGCTTACTTTTAGGTGACCCCCACTCCCCAGGCTCTCAGGACTTATTCCTGAGTCTGCGGTCCCCAGCGGTGCCACCGCATCATGCGTAGGAGAACTATCCCCATCTCGGGCTACTGACTGTCCGGGCAACTTATTCTTATAATTAATCAACCATTTGGGGAGTTGCCTGGACTCGCACCTTTAAAGCTTGTCATGGTGCATGACCTTGACCTCGAGCCGAGATTTGACAACAAATATTGTGTCCGATTTGGCTTCGATTATTATCCCAGGACCCCTCCATACTGACTCTACCTTTTTTCCCGCATTGCGGCGCCAGTAAACCAAATCTCCGACCTTGAACTTGCTGGTACGGACCTTAATGTCATGCGACCTTTTCATTGCTTTCTGCGCGACTTTTAGTTTCCCGCGGGCAATGTCGTGCACGCTCTGAACATTTTCTTCTAGGTCACTTACATATCTGTCGACCTCACCCTCCTCCCCATTTTGAAAAGACGTGGAAGGCGGTGGGGCGAACATCAAGGTTGCTGGTATATTTACTTCTCTACCCAGCATGAGACGATTTGGAGTATACCCAGTATGGCAGTTAACCGCGGACCGCAACGCTCCAGCCAATGGGCCTAGGTACTTATCCCATGACTTGGGCTGGCCATCTACGTAGCAACGAACCACGTCCATTAGAGTGCGGTTATAGCGCTCTACCTGGCCATTCCCTGACGGACGGTAGGGTGTGGTCCTGGCTTTATGGATCCCTAACATGGCACAAATCTTACAGAACAGCTCGCTTTCGAAATTACGGCCCTGATCTGTAAAGATTTCGTAAGGATAACCAAATCGAGAAAAGAAGTCATTGATAGCGGAACGGGCGGTAACTTCCGCTGTCTGAGACGGAAGCGGAATACACTCTACCCACTTGGTAAAGTTGTCTACCATCATAAGTATGTATTCCTTCCCGATATCAGTTCGGGGAAGCGGCCTGAGAAAGTCTAAATGTACCCTCTCCATCGGGCTTCCGGCTTGGTAGCTCTTGAGCTCTGATCTGTTCGGCAACGAACCCCGCTTATTCCTAGCACATACGTCGCAAGTCTTGACATATAACTTTATGTCCTTTGTCATCCGCCACCAGTAGAACTGTTGTTTAAGGCGTTCTTTAGTTCTCTGGATTCCCTGGTGACCAGAGGATGGTATGTCGTGACATAAGTGCATGATCTCGGATCGGAGATTCCGCGACACTAAGAGCCGATGGGGCGCATCCGAGTCATCCGGTTCTCGCCAAACAACTCCTGTCTCGTCGAGATAAAAACAGTCTTGCTCCAGAAGATAGCACTTCTCTTCCGGACTAGAGATAATTAAGTCACTTTCGGTAGGTAGGTCCCCAGACTCTAAGTACTGTCTCAGGTACACTATAGCCTCGTCATTTTTCTGTTTCTGGGCTAGGTCTGCGGAACTGTATGAAGATAGCGAGATTCCCGCAGTGTCACCTGTTACCTGACAGACTTGAGGACTAACTGTCTCAATCTTGGGATTTAAACTCGACACCCCACTGACATTAATCTGAAAACTGGGAAGTGCAGACGCACTAACAGTCGAGGGAGTATCTTCCCAAGAACTAGAAACAATGGCCTGACGAAGGGTGGGATCTAATGAACCACAACTGCCCCCCTCAGCGGACGGACTTTCCGCTGGCACAGGCGTCTCGTCAAAGAGTTGGGACAAAGGAATTACATCGTCTATTTCAGTGTTAAAGTCATGCCAGCGCTCATGGGCTCGGCAGCAATAACGGCATCCGCCGCAGGGCAAGTCCTCGACCCTAATTCTCGTCGAGTACCCCTGGCATGAATCAAGTATGTCCCGGGACAGAGCGTCAGCATTCACATGCTTCTTTCCCGGGCGGTGTACGATCCGCATGTTGTACTGGCTCAGTTCCTCGAGCCATCGAGCAATCTGGTTCTGCGGATGCTTGAAGTTCATCAGCCAGACCAGACTATGATGATCGGTCCTGACTGTGAACTCTCGACCCAGCAGGTAATGGCGGAATTGTCTGGTAAACTTAATTACCGCCAATAGCTCTTTGCGAGTAGTGCAATACCTATGCTGTTCTGCGGATAGCACAGCACTCCCATACCCAATTGTCCTTTCTTTCCCACCCTGGACTTGGCTTAATTCCCCGCCTACGGCATAGTCCGAGGCGTCGGTGTCCAGGATGAAATGACCTGTACTGTTCGGTATCGCTAGAACTGGAGGTTCAGTCATTGACTGAATGAGCTCCTCGAAAGCATTATGCTGCTCGTCACCCCACCGGAAACCGCTTTTTCCGGTAACAGCATATAGCGGAGCCGCAATTCTGGAGAAGTGAGGGATGAAACTACGGTGATAATTGGCGAAACCGAGAAAGCGTTCTACGCCCTTAACATCACGCGGAACAGGCCAGTCACGCACTGACTCAATGTACTGATCCCCCATTTCAACTCCGTGCTCGCTCACGGTTCTACCAAGGAACTCAACCTTAGTCTTAAACAGCTCGCATTTCCGAGGCTTGAATTTAAGGCCATATGCTCGGAACCGCTCAAACACTTGTCATAGGTTATCAAGGTGAGCGTGTGCAGAAGATCCTAGAACTAGGATATCGTCTAAGAAGGCTAAGGCTATCTTCCAGTTGAGCCTGTGTAACACCAAATTTATGGCCCTAGCAAAGGTTGCGGGGGCATTACACAGACCAAACCCCATTCTAGTAAATTCAAATAGGCCATATTTTGTGATAAAGGCAGTTTTTTTCCGGTCTTCCGGAGCTATCTTAACCTGCCAGTAAGCCGCATTAGCGTCAAGCTTGGAGAACCAGCGGTCCATGCACTCCTCGATGAGTGGCAGAGGGTACGTGTCCTTGACTGTCACCTTATTCAGGGCTCTATAATCCACGCACCAACGGATGCTGCCATCCTTCTTCCGGACCAGAACTGGGGCGGATGCCCAGTCTGAGGAAGACGGCTGGATGACTCCGGCTTTTAACATCTTATCGAGATGACCCTCTTCCTCCCCTTGAAAAACAGCGGGGGTGCGTCGCATCCGCTGCTTGACGGGAGACGCGTTACCGGTGTCTATTCGGTGTTCGATCTCGGAAAAACTTCCGAGATCAAGGTCATCAGTAGCAAAGACGTCGGCAAATTCTTTAACTAGCTCCGCAGCCTGAGACCTGACTTCCACAGGCGCGGTCTTGCCTAACTGTTCTAGCAGTGGGGCAATATGTTTACGACTGTTTCCCCCCTCGGCTGACACACGACGCACTGTGGGATCGGTACCCTCAACTGACACCGCAGGGACGGCTTCCCCTAACTTGGCACCAGTCTTTATAATGTGGCTTCTGTCAGTCAAGTTTAGTATGCACAGTTTGGCTCCATTTCCTGCAGCGTTATATGTCCGCGAGGCTACTATACCAGGCGGAAATATTTTAGCTGGTTCCAGCATAAACTCTGGCATATCGGAACTAAGGGTGCACTCGATAATTTGGGCAGTGTGCGGAGGAACCCGCACTCTGCGGACTGAAACCACATCGAGTACTGGCACTGTTTCTTCAGAACATAGGGCAAAAGGCGTGTCTATGCCCTTGACCCTTAGAGTACCTGCTTCGCATGAAACTTCTGCACTATGTGTGCGCAGGAAATCAATCCCCAGAAGCATTTCTTCTTGCAAAGGGCCAACATAGATCGGGTGATAAAAATCATAATCCCCAATGCGTAAGTTGAGATTTCCGAGGTACTGGGCGGTCATACCAGCCCCCTCGCCAGCTAGCCTAACATTAGTGTCTCTAACAACTTCGGGATGCGGCCTCAAGGACTTATAAACTTCACTTGAGATTACTGTTATGTCGGCTGCTGTATCTATAGTCGCTTTAATATGCTGACCTCCTATGCATATCGGGATGCGCCACGCACCTGAGCCTATGCTATGACTACCTGACCTAACTGAGGGAATAACATAAGTGGCCTTGATAGTCGGAGTGTCAGCAAAAGTCACCCTATTACCACTAGTCGAGCGCTCCCTAGTCCTAGTCTCTGCACATTTTTTCAAACACGGGCACAGGGACTCCGGGTTGCTCCTACGCGGACAATTCCGCCGTACGTGCCCCGGTTCTTTGCACTCATAACAAACGATTGTCCCTGAAGTCTTAGAGTACCCTTGATTCGCTGATTTCCCCCCTATAGGCTTACGTGTAGGGCTACGTCCCCTACTTGATGACGGGTCCCTCAAGGACCCTCGCTCGGGACTTAATCCTCGGGTGCTGTCCTCCGAGTCTCTGGAATAGTATGTTCTATACGAGCCCCGATCCGGCGACTCGGAACGGTCCCTGCTGGCACGATCGGAACGGTCCCTGCTGGCACGATTAGGACGGTCCCTGCTGGCACGATTAGAACGGTCCCTTGACTCCGAGCACCCTCTGCGTGCCACGTCAAGATCTTGTCTTTCAGAATCTGGTCTGGCCCGATAATAACCCAGATTTTGCGACTGACTCTGTTCATTTTGACGGTCTCTAGATAGGGATCTTACCGCTCTCGGCCGACGGGCTAAAGCTCTGCGACTAAGCTGATAAGTTTTGACTCTCTTAATCGCTTCTTCTAGAGTCCCCGGGGGATTATTAATTAACTGCTGCCCCGCCTCACTGTCATTACACCCCAGAGCAAATCGGACGACTATTTGCTCTTGGAAAACTTCCGGCGAAGTTCCGCTACCAAACGCTTTCTGGGCAGTGTCCATTATGCGGTCCCCCCATTGCTCTATAGCTTCGTCCGCTCGCTGGCAGATAGAATTAAATTCCAGCTGTGAGGCGGCTCTACGGGAAGTTTTACCGAATCTCTCCTCCATCCGGAGAACGACCTCTTGGAAACTTAACAGCGCGCCTCGTCGCCTGAGGATATCAAAGTACTTAAGAGCTGCCCCCTCTAGCGTAAGACTTAGGGCGAACAGAGAGTCGGGGCCACTCCACTGATGATATTCGGCAATTGTGGAGAACTTTGAATAGAATGGCCCCCACTCTACATCCCCATTGTACTTCATCCACTTTATTTCAGCCGGAATATTCCTACTCACGCTACTCCGAGTACCAGGAGGTATTAAGCTCGGAAATTGGGATGCATCTGCCGTAGTCATTAATGTGTGACCTTGAGGTGCCCAAGACCCACCCCCTATTCCAGGTACAAATGACGGTGCTCCCCCTAGTGCCGCCGACTGCCCTACCAACCCCCCATAGTAGCCAAAGCCCTGACTACCCAAGTTAGCTGCACTAGAAGACACAGATGCAGTTGGTGCCGTCACTGGCACACCCATGCCACCAGCAACATGACCCGGAACAGAAGGGCCCGTGCTAGGATGTATAGGATACCCCCTGTTCCCTGATAAGAACGAGCCAAATGTAATAGTACTCGGCAATCCCGAGCCAAGACTGCTGTAGTCTACTGAAGAAAATGGCTGACTTTGAGATGCGGAAACAGAAGTGACCTTATAGTCTTGGTTAGGAACAGATTCGGTACTAGGTAAACTAGCGACGGGCTGCACTGCAGGACACTGCACTGGCAATGAGCTAGGAACCCAGGGACTCCCCTGGCTACTAGTCATTACAGACGGACTGGCAGTGACTTTGAGCTCCTGTGGCTCAGTTACTGACTGCGGTTTCTCAGACTTCATCATTCCCGCAAGCATTTTAGTTATTTCACTTAACCGAGTCCCCATGTTTGTTTCCATAGACCCCACCTGAGACGTCATGTCGGTTTTCAAAGTCCCCATCTGAGATGTCATGTCGGTTTTCAGAGTCCCCATCTGAGACGTCATGTTGGCTTCTAATGAGCCTATATCTCCCCGCAGTGCTCCTACGTCCTGACCAAGGCTATTTACCCTGCTATTAACTGCACCAAGGTCACCCTGCACCTGGGAAATATTTCCCTGAATCTGACCAATATCCCCTCGGAATTGACCCATTTCCCCTTGGATTCTGTCAACGACCCCCTCCAGGATAGTCTGTCGTTCCTGGAGCAGGGAATAAAACTGCTGGAAACCGGGCGTTTCCAAAGACCCATCAGCTCCCTGTGTAAGCGACATATCTCCGCCCTCATACTGGGTGACATTATCCGGGGCACCCTCCCCCTGGGGCATCGGTGTGCTACACACACACGGAGCAAATCTCACGCTTCCGGGAGGCGGAACTTTCCGCGGACTGCGTTCCCCCGGGGTACTCCCCAGACCCGCTTGGTCATTTCCCCCAACATGAACGTCCCAGTCCCCACTAGGCCTCAAAGTTCCCCTCCCCCTACCAAAGGAACTGAACACATGGTCCATCTCGCCCGGTATCCTCAAAACGGCAAAAATACAAACTTACATGAATTAAGCGGTTAATCCGCTAAACAAGAAACGCAAGTATAAACGTATATACAAAATAAAATAAATACTGCTGCCTTACATCTCGGAGAAAAAAAATATCCAAGATGGCGACGGGCACTAACACGTGCAAGTAAGGTTTTACCCCGCAGTCAAACTAAAATACCCTGGTACGCCGCGCCAATATAGCGTTCTCTATATTATATACTGTTACTCTAGTGATGGCGGAATAGAGAAAACACTATGGTAAAATAATCCGCTATTTATTAGTGCCCGCAGTTATAACATACAATATAGATTACAATAATGGCGGAGCTGACAGAGACACGTCTGTACTCTGCAGCATGTAACAGAAAAGAGAGCGAGGATAGGTATACGTCACGACAGGTGCTGTGACGTATACCAAGTGATCGGAGGTAGCAGGGCAACTCGTGCCCAGTACCTCCAGGACCACCACAATTGCTTTTACCGTGTGCACTATCTGACAGCCATTAATTGCTTTTTTACGGTTATTAAAATTTTTTATCAACTAAAAGCTTAATACTCAGTAACATACCAGTAATTAAATTGCAATAAACAAAAATTTGTAAAAGAAAACAAGTTTTAACATTTTCTGTGCAATAAGTTCATTTCTTATGCGTTTTAATTAGATCATCGCTTAAAAACCTCTGTTCGTTGCCTTATTTTACTTGCGTACAGAGTTACAATTAATTATGCTAGCAAATACCTAATCTGCTCATCCGATCAGCCAGTACTGCTTCATCAGGTTCATTAAAGGCTGCCATTGGAAATGCAACAAAAATATTTCACCAAACTAGTCCGTCTTTGTGTCTTCAATACCCAACATTCTTACACTGCAACAAAATACATACATTTACATTTTACAATTTCATTACCATGATTACTGTTAATTGTGTTAAAGTTATTGCTTCGAAGGTTTAAAAGAAAAAAAAATGTTAAAATATTTACATTAGCAAAGTCTTTCGATCCTTATATTAAGACAATACAAATTCTAAAAATTGCCATTCAATTTTCAATGACATGAAGTCTATCAAAATAGTGCATATTTTTTTGTAACACAAATAAAATTAAATAAACAAGAGGCCCATGGGCCACATCGCTCTCCTGAGCACTGGGGGTTGGAAAAAACAGATATCAGTTTATTATTGAAAAGTTTAAACTCAAAAAAGTCTCAACCAATCCTTAAAGGGGAGAGGGTATGATTTAAACAAACTTGAATCTACACTAACTAAGGATGCTTGCATATTTCTTTGACCTACCTGTGGCTTTATTGCCCTTACATTTGAACTTACATAGTGGCCCCACCTAACCCCAGGGGTCATGACTTGAACAAACTTGAATCTACACTACCTGAGAATGCTTCCATATGCATATGACTAATCATGGCTTTGCCATTCTTGAAAAGAAGATTTTTAAAGAATTTTTCTCCATATTTCTATGTAAAACTTTGATCAGCCATTGTGGCCCCGCCCTACCCGCGGGGGTCATGATTTGAACAAACCTGAATCTACACTACCTGAAGATGCTTAAATATAAATATGATCATTCATGCCTTTGCCATTCAAGAGAAGAAGATTTTTAAAGAATTCCCTATATATTTCTATGTAAAACTTTGATCGGCCATTGTGGCCCCGCTTTATTCCCCGGGGTCATGATTTGAACAAACCTGAATCTACACTACCTGAGGATGCTTCCATTAAAATAAGATCATTCATGCCTTTGCTATTCTTGAGACTAAGGTTTTTAAGGAAATTCCCTATAAATTTCTATGTAAAACTTTGATCTACCATTGAAGCCCCGCCCTACCCCCAGGGGGTCATGATTTGAACAAACCTGAATCTACACTATCTGAGGATGCTTACATATAAATATGATCATTCATGCCTTTGCTATCCTTGAGAAGAAGAATTTTAAAGAATTCACTATACATTTCTATGTAAAACTTTGATCTGCCATTGTGCCCCCCCCCCCCCCGGGTCATAATTTGAACAAACTTGAATCTACACTACCTTAGGATGATTATTCATGCCTATGTTGTTCTTGAGAAGAAGAATTTTAAAGAATTTCCCTATATATTTCTATGTAAAACTTTGACCAGCCATTGTGGCCCTGCCCTTACCCCCGGGGTCATGATTTGAACAAACTTGAATCTACTTTACCTGAGGATGCTTCCCTATTAGTTTAATCTTTCCTGGCATAGTGGTTCTTGAGAAGAAGATTTTTAAAACATATCACCAAATTTTCACCTTTTCTGCATTATCTCCCCTTGAATAAGGGTGTGGCCCTTCATTTGAACAAACTTGAATCCCCATCACCAAAGGATACTTTGTGGCAAGTTTGGTTGAAATTGGCCCAGTGGTTCTTGAGAAGATGAAAATGTGAAAAGTTTACAACAACGAAGATGACGCCAACGACGCCAATGACGACGACAGACAACGGACAAATTTTGATCAGAAAAGCTCACTTGAGCCTTCGGCTCAGATGAGCTAACAAGAGGCCTACAGGCCTTATAGGTCACTTGAGTATCATGTAATGACTGTCCACCAAATGAATTTGGTTCCTGTTTTAAACCCGAAAACATGAAATTCACAATTTTGAAAGAGGCACCATTACTTATCATAACGATACACTTAGCCAGGGATTGACACTAATTTTAAAACTATAGTTGCAAGCAGGGCTAGCAATTTCCAATTTCTAATAGCCCTGTTCATGTATTGGTCGTCCAGCAGCCAAAGGCTGTTTGCCGAGTCACAAAGCAATGAGGGGGGTAGGTGTGGGAGGATGTTTCCTTCTCCTGCTGGTGGTTATATGGGGGTTTCCCCAGAGAAATTTTTAAAAAAGAGATGCCAAATCCTGCATGCTGGCTGTATTTTGAGAGAATTTATATGTCACTAAATGCACAAAATGACTCCAACAACATTGGAATTTGTGTAATTGTTTAAATTTATCATTGAAATTGCTCCAAGTGAGCGTTTAGTAAAAAATTACAGTAGCCCTGCATGGCAAGTTTCAAGACATGTTTAGTAGCCCGACCTCAATATTCAGTTGTCCCGGGCCAGTGGGCTACTGTTAGTGTCGAATCCTGTATTAGCATGCTTACTTTGTTTACTTAACAAGTTTCCATTCTTACTAGTGATTCTTTACTTTTACTAGTCCACACACAATTTTATGAGTCCAGCAGAAAAAATAAATAAATAGAATAAACATTGCAATGTACTTTTTACTCTTTTTTTAAAATAACCAAAACATTAATTACATGAAATATTTTACTTCTCAAGATTCGTTGAAATCTCGCTATCAGAAATTATGATCGTATTCCGATCTCATTGGTTTTTCTCATTACATGATTACATGATTTAAAGTCCAACATCTTTCTTATATTTTGATATATTTATATCCATAGAAAGTAATTATCACAATAAATATATATGGGAAGAATTGAAGCCATACCCCACATAGGCGTCGGAAGCAAATGCAAACTGAAAGTGGGGGTTCTAATTGAAAGGGGGGGGGCTAAACCAAAAACAAGAGGCCCAGGGGCCATATCACTCACCTGAGCAAATTAGCTAGGAAAAAGCACATATAAGATTAGAACTGAAAGTCTACTGAGATGGGTGGGGCTTGAATTTTAATAATTTGAATTTGATTCCCCATTGTTTCCCTCCCTACCCAAAACGGCCATGTTTTGAACAAATTTATATCTTCAATACGTGAGGATGCTTACATGCCAATATGACTAAACATAGCTTTTCTGTTCTTGGGATTTTTCCCTTTATTTTCTATGTAAGACTTTAATCCACCATTGTAGCCCCACATCCCTACCCTTGGGGGGTTATGATTAGAACAAACTTGAATCTACACTACCTGAGGATGATTCCGTATAAATATCACTAAACATGGCTTTGAAGTATTTGAAAAGATTTTAAAAGTTTTCCCTATTAGATATTCCTATCTAAAAATTTGATCAGCCATTTTGGCCCCACCCTATCCCCAGGGGTCATGATTTGAACAAAATTGAATCTACACTACCTGAGGATAATTTCACATGAGTTTCATCTTTCCTGTCTCAATGGTTCTTGAAAAGAAGATATTTAAATGTTTGAAGATTTTTCCTATATATTCCTATCTAAAACTTTGATCAGCTTTTTGGCTCGACACCTGCCCAAGGGTTCATGATTTGAAAAAAACTTGAATCTACAATACCTGAGGATGATTCCACATGAGTTTCATTTTTCCTGGCCCAGTGGTTCTTGAGAAGAAGATTTTTAAATATTTTTTCCTATATGTAAAACTTTGATCGGACATTTTGGCCCCACCCTACCCCCAGGGGTCATGATTTGAACAAAATTGAATCTACACTACCTGAGGATAATTTCACATGAGTTTAATCTTTCCTGTCTGAATGTTTCTTGAAAAGAAGATATTTAAATGTTTAAAGATTTTTCCTATACTGTATACAGGGAAATTTTATTTTCACCCCTTTCACCCTCCTCTTGAATGGGCGAATTTAAGACGGAGCGAATTGAAATAACACAGCATAATTTCTTAAACAGAACTATGCTTGGGCGAATTTAAAACGGGGCAAAACTGTTTGCAAGTGCAAAAGGGTGAAAATAACACAGGGTGAAAATAACCCTGTATACAGTATATTCCTATTTTAAACTTTGATCAGCCATTTTGGTCCCACCCTACCCCTGGTGGTCATGATTTGAACAAATTTGAATCTACAATACCTGAGGATGATTCCACATGAGTTTCATCTTTCCTGGCCCAGTGGTTCTTGAAAAGAAGATTTTTAAAGATTTTTCCCTATATACATGATATACTCCTATGTAAAACTTTGGTCTGCCATTTTGGCCCCACCCTACCCCGAGGGTCATGATTTGAAAAAAAACTTGAATCTACACTACCCGAGGATGATTTCACATAAGTTTCATCTTTCCTAGCCCAGTGGTTCTTGAGAAGAAGATTTTAAAAGATTTTTCCTATATATTCCTATGTAAAACTTTGATCAGCCATTTTGGCCCCACCCTACCCCAGGGAGTCATGATTTAAAAAACTTGAATCTACACTACCTGAGGATGATTCCACATGAGTTTCATCTTTCCTGGCCCAGTGGTTCTTGAGAAGAAGATTTTTTAAAAATGCCATTAATTTTTCTCTAATTCATAATTATCTCCCCATGGAAAAGGGCATGGCCTTTCATTTGAACAAACTTGAATCCCCTTTATCCAAAGGATACTTTGTGGCAAATTTGGTTGAAATTGGTCTAGTGTTCTTCAAAAGATGAAAATGTGAAAAGTTTATGACAACAAGGACAACGACAACGACGCCAATAACGATGACAGACAACGGACAAATTTTGATAAGAAAAGCTCACCTGAGCCTTCGGCTCAGGTGAGCTCAGAAAGGTAAACCCCAATTTTCAGTGCCTATATTATGTATATATTTGCAAAAAAAAAGGGGGGGGGGGCTAAGCCCCCCTCTCCCTAGCCCCTGTGGTTCTAGATAGAATGTTCTATCCTTAAAATGATTATTGTCCTACAGACCCGGTTTATGATAGAATTCGTTCCATGTATTCACAATGTAGCAAGATAAACACGGGCGGTAACTCAAACTTACATGTAATGCATTTACTACGAAAAATCCAGAGGTAAATATGGCGTGTAATTTTGAAGCGAGAAAAAACTTTGAGAAAATTAGTTGAATTTTCGCCTTTATTTGGATTACATTTTAGGTTTAAAGGCATACGCAACCTCAAAAAGGGTTGTTACAATTAATTTTGAAGTTATTTTCAGTGTAATTTTGTACTGTTCAAAATCGTTTTGGAGCAATTCTGCAATTATTTGCTACATTGCGAGTATACAGGAGGTATTCTAATTGTGGTGAGGCCTTGTCCAAAGACACAGTTAGATTATTCTAACTACCCCGGTTCAGATGCCTACGCCGCAATTGCTCAAAAGTTTGATCCCCCATTGTTGCCCCTCCCTACCCCAGGTTCAAATTCATTTCAACTTCAAACTACATGAGGATGCTTCCATAACAAAAGAGCAAATGAGTTTTGCTGTTCTTGATGTGTTTTTCAAAAAAAAAAAATTCCTCCCATTGTTCCCCCTTCCTGCCCCAGGGGTATGTTAATATAATAGGGAGAGCTTTGCTCTCACCAGTGGGACCTTTGGGCCGTGAGAGGGCTCTGCCCTCTATCATTATAACAGAAAACAGTAAAATTGCTTTTCATGAGATAAATTTTATTTCTTCATGTTTTTATTTAAGAAATGAATTTCATTTTTGAAGATTCATAAGGTTATGAACTACGACGCTTCACGCCAGCATATTTCATGAAGCGTGTTAGCGCTTCATGATAAATATGCCGGCGTGAAGCGTTGTAGTTCATATATCTCATGAATCTTCAAAAGTTAAATTCATTTCTTATATTTACATTATTTTTCTGATGACTTGCCATAAATTTACGCCATTCAACTGTCATTTTTATAGCAAAACAGTGTGCACTATATTTTTTGACGTCAAGTGTAGTATTATGACGTAACAATGGAGATATTCATGCTTATTCGTGGTACATATGTAATGTAGTTCATGAGAAAATGAACTGCATTTCATTTTGTAAAGAATCATAGGGGAAAATTATTGGAAAAGTAAATATGTAAGGTAAACTTACGAGTGAAAACGAAAGTAAAAACAGTTGAGGAAAGCTTGATATATTTCGCTTTCTTATATCTAAAACAATTGCTTTTTGTGTGTATCAAAAAAAACATTAAAAATTGTTTCAATTTATTTCTTATGAAAATTTACTTTTATGTAGAAAGGTATCATGTAAGTGAAAACGAAAGTAGACAAGTTCATGAAAGCTTGCTATATTTCGCTTTCTGCTATCTGACAACGAAAAAAATCCCACTTTTTTGTGTTTATACAGTTGAAAAGCATACTAAATTATGACAGAAAATTAAGTACCTTCCAAAATCAAACTTTGATGTTGTTTCTACTTCTATCTCATTAGGCCTAGTTTGTGGAAATTTAGATTGCTGAAACCGAAAGACGTGATTTGATTGGTGGAAATTTTCGATGTTAAATTAGTGTAAAAGTAGTTTTCACTTTCGCACCATGGTGGTTTATTGAGCGTTCGGGGGGGGGGGGGGGGTAGATATATAGAATAGAATAGAATAGAATAGAATATTTATTCAACCAATTTGGGCCCACAGTGGAGCATACAGAACAGTGTCCAAAATCATCACAGTTATACATATACAAAACAGAACAAAACAAACATTGTATAATGAACAGAAAGTTAGTTATCTTCTTTTAGGATGTATAAAATGTAGATTATAAGTGGCCTATGTATAATATCTGCAATATGCCTATATTGAACTGTGTTGTTTTCTCTTATTAAAATTTGCATTTAAAAGTTGGCATAATAAAACAACAAACTCAGAATCTTCATTTGACATAATCCTTCTTGAGTCATTATAAAGTGGACATTCTAGCAAAAAATGCAATTCATCCTCAGTTGGACTTGAGGTGCAGTAACGACAGATTCTCTCACACCTGGGAAGAATTTTATTTTTACCACATTTATATAATTAATTATATAATTGAAAGAAAGAAAATTTATAAAAATGAAAAAGCGGTGTTTTGCAAAACTATATTTCTCAATAAACATGATAAATGTACGATACGTAAAAATATTATTCCCAGTGGCGTATATTCCAAATAGGCAAAAAGGCGGGATAATTTCAGGCACATACATGTTGCAACGGGGGCTGCCCCCTTTTTTCACCAACATTACTTTTACTATTAAAAATATCCATTGTCACCCCCCCCCCCCCCGTTAATACTACGGTAAAGTAATTTAAGGGATATGCAGTATTGTATGCAAAAAAAAATGGCACTGCAACTGAAGAAGTCGGCATCTGAAAAACTTGGTCTCTACCACCACCCTCCCCCACCCACCCCCGCACACACACACACACACATGAAATAGGATTTTCGAGTTTGGGCAATTTTTTTTCTGCTTATCAACTTTTCCGGGTAATTATTTTTTTTTTTTTTTTTGTCTGGCTGCCCTCCTTTTCAAAAACGATGCTACGTGCCTGAATTTAGTTGAAAATGGGAAATGGGAGTTGATCAGATAATAAATTTTCCCTATTAGTTTATGATTTTGTTGCAAATGCCAAAAAGCGTGCTTCGCAATCCACAGTACACTTTTATAACTTTTCCATGTAAATGTTTTCAGTTGTACCTTTTCTTACAGCTTTTTAAAGCCGAAATTCAATATTGTTCAAGTGTTATATATATATATCAGGGACCTATCATACTAGTATACTAGTTAGTATTATATAATATAGGTCCCTGGTTACATTAAGTCTTATCAAACAATTCAAAACCATCGACAGCAACAGAATTTAATTAAGTGCAGGGAGTGAAATGATAACTGGAAATATTATGGTTAGTATAGGAAGTAAACGTACTGATCGTGTTTCGATTATTCAGAAAGGAAGTTTCCATAATTTTCTAAGCAGAGTAAAAAATAGTTAAAAGTTGTCAATTTTATAAAGTGTTCTTCCTATAATGATAGTGTCTACCTACACTCCGCCTCAGATTAAATCTTTGACTTCACACGAGCCTTCACATCAGCAGAAAGATGTAAGAGAAAAGGAGAAAATGTATAGCTGGAGCGGGAATCGAACCCGGGATCCCTGCATCTCCAGTCAGGTGCTCTACCAACTGAGCTTGTTTCCAGGCTGATGTAAGGAAAATATACCACTGATTCTCTATCTAAAATTTTCACTTGAACTTCAAATCTTCAAGTTGAAAAATTCCTGTTATGCTTTTATTTCCTTTTTGTGTCTCGCTTTCACAAAGAGGGGCCAGTGTGTCTTTCCGTCCTTCTGTATTTTCTCTCTGTCTGTAACACTTTTGTTTCCGTGCGATATCTCGAGAAGATAACATTGCAACTCAATTCCTAGAGAAAACCCCTATTGTGGGGTCAGTTTAAAGGGTCAAGGGTCAAGACCATAAATTTTGTCTGATTTTTAACACTTCCATTTTTGCGCGATATCTCATGGTTTTGAGCTTTAGCAGTGAGAGAAGAAGTAGCTTTCTGGAAATATGAAGTCAATAATATGATGTATTTCTCTATTTTAAACAGAAAAGGCATCAAAATGACCATTTCAAGGGTATTTTTCCTTCAGAAAATAGTTTCCACTCTCCACAGTCGTATCCATTTTGAGTCATCCGTCAAGGTCACAGATTCATAAATCTATCAGGGGGGTGTTGAGGGTATGCAAGTGTGTCTACGTGTGAGGTAGGGTGTATGTGAAACTTTCATTTGTCTCCAGATGCTTTTAAACTTTTGCAATAACCCCCCCCCCCTTGCCCCGACTCCCTTAAGTAGATTCCAGTAAAGTTTGGGGTTATCCTCATTTAAAGATCAGCGTGCATGCTCTTCTTTTGTAATTCAGGGGGACATGTTATACATTCTCTGAATTAATTAGCTTGTTTTCATTCTAATCTTGTGTACTTTTTCTCTGCTTTTATTGATATTTTTGGAAATATTTGCCTTAAAAATGTATTCATCAGTCTAGTCGAGCCCTCAAACGGGGGTATACCCTCAAACGAGGGTTTTCCTTCCCTTAATGCAACGCGCTAAAGCGGAAGTGGAATTCAAGAACGATAACTCTTCTTATTTAAAAAAAAAATATTTTTTTTAAAAATCACAAACATACAAAAATGAATTGTCTACACCTTTGTTTCAATTAAAAACTAAAAAATTTTTTTTTTTCGTTTTTATTTACCTCATTTTTGAAGCACAAAAGTTTGTTTACAGGACAGAGGAAATTCGGACGGGCACACAAGAAAGTGTCGAAAAATAATAAATAACATGTTGATTACACAAAATTTGTAATACCGGGGAAGGGAATTATATGTAGTTCAACTTTAAACTAACCATTGTTTGTTTATTCATCCGTTTTATTAAATTATGAATAAAAAAATCTAGTTGTATCAAGCATGGAAGTCAAGGCACAGAATACGCTAACTTTGGGAGAGAAAAAGTCTTAATTTTTGCAATAAACATATATTTTTTCGCAATACAATCTCTTTAAACATCTTTAATCTATCAAATTTGAGTACTTACAGAGCTACGAAATAATCCATCACTTTGCACGAGCATATTTTGTGGACCAAACGTTTTTCTGTGAAAACGGCACTTTTTTGAGTGTCTGCGCATGCGTGTACCCCCATTTGAGGGTACGGTTTTCCTACTTTGGGGGTTCGACTAGACTGTTCATTACTCAGTGAAATTTTCAGTCTAATTTTTTTTTAAAATAGATTAAGGTTAATGAATGGTCAAAATGAATCAAAACGTTGTCTGGACATGTACCATAGGCGTCGAAACCTGGTGTGTGTGGGGGGGGGGGGGGGGCTAAAGGGGGCTAAACCCCCATACATATGTAGATATACATGTACCCCATGGGGCATATATGGACAATTGGACACAGAACAGATGCCGGACGACATCTCAATAATCATTGACACTCTGGTTCACATAGAAGTCGGAACCGGGGGGGGGGGCTAGGGGGAGCTGAGCGCCCCCCCCCCCCCCCCACTTTTTTGCAAATATCGTCTCGTATCCTATTTTCGACCGTATTGTATTTTCGATCTATTTTTCCCAATCTGCTTCCCATGCAGATACCGTGCAGTACAGCATTATTTTCGCTTGCTACACTTGGAAAAATGTCTTTGAAGCACAACTGTAGTGAAAATTCCCAAAATAATTCATTCAACGGAATTTCCCCGATAGTTTTAGTCCGATGTCAGAAATTCTAGTGTTTTTACTAATGCACATTTTATCTGTTGATTATTCAAAGTCGTAATCGGTTAATTACAAAGATTTTTAGATGACATTAATTCCGAAAGAAAATTAAGATCTCTGTCAAAGAGACACGTGAATATTGAAATGAATGGGTGGATCAAACAAATTTTTTTCTTCCTTAAATATGGGCATTTTCTTACAGATTTTTACTGAAAATTGCAACGTAATTTCATTGATTTTTTTTGAAAATGCACAGCTACTGACAAATGGGTTCAACCAACGAAAAAATGTATTTGCAACCAAAATATGCAACTTGTTCAAATTTTTCTTGAAAGACAGACAATCGTATTTTTATTGTTTGGAATATCCAATAGATATTAATAGCCGAAACTGATTGGGCGTTGATACTATATTTAGGTCGAAAACACAAGACGCTAATATTTTTGTAAGGAAAACTGCACCCTTTCCATATTATGGCATATAGATAAAATATAAACACAAAACTGCAATTTGGGTTATATGATTTTATTTATAGACACATTTGCTAACATTTTAAGCCCATATTTTTTCACATTCTATAAAATTTTTAATTAATTAATAAATAATATCTAAATAAGTCGAAAATACAATACGCCAGGATATATACTTAATATAGGTATTGAAAATCGGAGTTTACCTTTTTTTGTTGGTTTAGCCCCCCCCCCCTTTTTCAATTTGCGTCCGACGCCTTTGAAGCCACGGCCAAAATTTACGATCACAGGGGCATCTTATCCACTCTGTTCTCTACTTCACATATAAAAATACACTATTTTTATATGTGAAGTAGAGAACAGAGTGGATAAGATGCTTAAAATCATCTGGAACTCAAATTACCCTCTCCTTAACTGAAACAGCGCCATCTAACGGAAACCGGTCCCCATATACGCCACGTTTGGGTCCATTTGGGGAAACAAAAATGAAGTGGTTAATGCCTTTCATAAGTTTTTGCATCTGTGCAGCAACTGCTGGTAAAAGAACTCTTGTGCTGGTGGATAACTGGTCGATTAGAGAAACGCACTCTGTATTTTTCCGAACGCTTCGAGGTAAATAACCAGGTCCAGCACAATCTCTTGATTAAGCTATATAGCTTTAAAAAGCTATATAGCTTTATTAAGCTATTCAAAATAGCTTGATAAAGCTATTTATATGCAATTTTTCACAAAAACGTTTTTTGAAAGAAATAAACAAAAAGTCGCAAATATTTGACTATTCATATATGTACTATGGACTATCAAAAATACAACCTAAATCATAGAAAGTTCTAACATTGCTGCTGTTGAATATTTTTAAGCAAAATATGAATTTCCATTGTTTGAGTAACTGTGTTTGCGGTGAGGCGTGGGTAAGTATGACTGCTTCTCATTGTGCTGAACTGTTACTAATCAATTATCCTGTTTGCCATAACAGGCCTCCTTTATATAATTTCATTCAAGAAATAACTGCGTGGTCACTCATCAATTGCCCCAAAACCTTTAAAACTTTGAGTACAAAGTCTCTCAAGGAGAAGCAATTTGGTGAGTGATTTTTACATGCATTGTATTCAGAAGAGTACAAAGTTTAATATTTCCACTGCACCAAGATGCGACTTTTTGCACATGTTGAAAAAATAACACATTTGAGAAAAAAGTCTGAGAAAATAGCTTAATCAAGCTATTCTGAATAGCTTAATAAAGCTATATAGCTAAATCAAGCTATATAGCTTAGTCAAGAGATTGTGCTGGACCTGATAACAGCTAGGGCCTAGCTACTAGGCTAGGTTAACAATCACCCATAGCCCAGGTCCAGGAAAATCACTATATTTAGCTATATTATACAATTATTTAATGCCTGAGCAGTCAATAGACCAGAATATTTTTCCCGAGGTGCAGGGAACAGCTCAGTGTGTTCTATTGCCAGAGGCCAGCGGCCGAGGGCAATAGAACACACTGAGCTGTTCCCTGCACCGAGGGAAACATTTTTGGTCTATTGCCTGATCAGGCATTAAATAATTGTTTTATTACCTAATTTTATTTTCCGTATTAAGTGTTCACAATTGTATATTCAGTACAGATGGTTCCCGTACAGTGTACCATATTGTACAAATTTATACCTAGATATGGTGCATCTTTAATATTAATTAAAGATTGATTGTATAGACTGTTGTTTACATTCCTCTCGAAAATTTTTTACTTATATGGAGACGCCATCCGGAGAGGGATCTTTTTCGTGCCAGCAGTGCACCTACTGCGACACGGGACCTCGGTTGATAGGTCTCACCCGAAGGAATGGTCTCCACGTCCCACAGTGTATTAATTAAAAAGTAACCCTCATTAAATAAAATATCCGACCATTGAAATCACATAATTTTTAAAACCAATGTCGAAAGATCGAATAAGATGATTGTTTACCATGTCTGTGCAATCGGCAATCCTCGGCTGACTCCACTACGCTCCATTCAAACCTCGGATGTGATTAGTGGAGGAATATGCAACAGATCCTTACATTTCTCCGCCGGAAACTGCCTTTTCACTCATTTCATATTTCGCTCTGCATAACTTTCCTCGAAAATGTATCTTAATTTGTACAATTTTTTATCATAAACAGGTTTTGATTACATCCTAATGTTAACAAGCTTTGAAAACAAGAAAATCTGTTGAGTGTGCCACAAAATAACTCCGATTTCAAATGCATGACATCTGAATAAAATTCAAATAAGGATCACATGACTGAATCAGCAAGATGGTAGATCACCGTTGACGTCCGAGGTTATGTGCGAGGTACGAGTCATCCGAGGAACTCCGAGTGATGTCTGTGCAGTGTTACAAACAACTAAATTTGAAACCGGGATCGTTTTTTTCCAAAATACGTCGCCGGTCAATAGAACGCGCAGTCAATTGACCGGTCAATAGAACGCCAGTCAGTAGATCGGTTTGAAAAGATAAGAAAAACTGAAAACACATACAGAATAGATGAAATTATTATATGATTGAATAATTTCCATCTCTCTGATTGGCTGAGATCCAACTATGTTAGAGAAATATTACGTTGTATTGACCTGCACGTGACGTTCCAGGTCAATACAAGGATTTATTTCCTCTACATTGATCTAAAAATAGATCGGGATATTCCAAATTGATACAAATTAGTTTGGAAAGCTATTTAAACTACTATTATTATTTTTTTCATGTGAAGAAAACATAAGCGAATATATATTTTCGGGTGATGGTGGTAACAGGGGATGCAGGGACACTCCTCCTACACTTTTACTGAACAGCAATTTTAACTTTTTGGAAGTCAGTTTTCCCTGCTAATACTCCTTCCATTAAAAAAAGACTGACATAATTTTTTTTCAAAGCAACTAAAATTGATTAAAAAAAACTTTTAAAAAAATAAATACGACCTATAAGGTGGATTAACATTTTAATTCTGTATCTCTCTTAATTGTATTTGGATAGGACTTACTAGTAATTAAATGCAAACAAGTAATGGGTATCATTATTTTATTAGTGAATCATATAATAAAACAATTATTGCTGTATTTTTTCGGTCAATACAATGATTTAGCCATCTTCGAAGTACAATATTCACCTCGCCCTCCGGGCTCGGTGAATATTGTACTCCTCAGATGGCTAAATCATTGTATTGACCTCAAAACACAACAATAATTGTATAATATTTAATTTATAATAAAACAACAAAATTCATTGGATTAGGTAATAAAGCTAAATATACATATATAAAGTTTTATTTACCTATATAATATAGCTTTATTTAGCTATTTCAGAGTAAAATTCTGTGTTATGAAAAGCAAACAAAAAGTCCCATAATGAGTCAGTATTAGTTTTCAACTTTGAAATGGACTGAAAACAATTCACCAAAAACCCACTTTTAAAAAATGTTTCTCCTTTTGTGCAATTGCAGTCTAAGATCAAAAAGTTTTGGGGCTATGTTTAACAGCTAATCTGTGATTAAGCAGCTTAACTTTAACAAAGAAAAGCAGTTTTGGTCAACAAGATAATAGCTGCAGATCTGTAGCTCTCCGAAAAAATATATTGATAGACCGGAGAGCTACAGTGCCACCCATTGAAAAAACTGTATATTTATTGTGCACAAAAAAGTGCGCTCGATTCTCAATTTATTCTTCCAAATTCTTACCTCAATTGCAAAAAAAGGAAAGATTTCCAAAAATCCCTTTCTCTTCTTTCAAGTGTTTTTGTAGTTGAAATCTGAGTGAAGCATATTGGACCTAATTATCTTTGAAACCAAATAAATAAGCGAAATGTTCGATGATTACAATATCAGAGTCAGGTGGACTATTCACAACAATTATGAGGAATGTTTGGTTGTGGAAACAGTGAAAGAATATGTTAGGAACATATGGTTAGTAATATTTTGAGATTACAGTTTAAAAACATGGATAAATAAATCGAAAACCGAAATTATTTCGGAGAGCTTACAGATCTGCAGCTAACAAGAAAATTGATTGGTAATAATTCAGGACAAAGCAAGGCAATCGCACTTAGTCATGCCTCATCGCACTCCAGTGAGGGACAGCTATCCTAACTATAGAGATGCCTTTTTTGGTAAAAAGTGTTTAAAAGAGGCAATGTTTTTTACTATCTATTCCCTGGGTTGTTTTTATCAAACCTTTTAATAAAGATATTGGACATATTTTCATGCGACTTTTTGTCTGCTTTTCATAAAACAGAAACCCATTCTAAAATAGCTAAATAAAGCTATATTATGTAGGGTAGCTAAACACAGTTTCGTATAAAATCCAGGGGGTTTTTCCCAGAGAGAAGCATGCTGGGTAGGGATTTTCCTGCTATTTATAGGAGTCTAGATGAAAACTGCATCTTTTCTGTTTTTATTCGCATAAAGTAGAGTCTTATCTTAATATTTAAAGAAAAAATTGTGCATTCATTTTTAGAAAAAAAAAATTGTGAGACTTTTTAATAGGGGGAGATAACTCCCAAAACATCCGGTTTTCACATGTGCAGAATTGCATGAGTCAATTAGCAGGTAATGTAGCTCTTTCAAGAGGTGGAAAATGTACCCTAAAAGCACACTAAAAGAAAACCTTAGGACTTGTTCTGTGAAATGCATACAACTTATTTTGTCTGATTTTTTCTGTTTTTGTTGAGCAGGGGGGTTAAAAATGCACATGTGCACTGAAAATGGATGCATAAACAACCCAATATCCCCCACATTTCAGGTGTCAAATACCCCCTAGTAGTAATTGATGAATGTATTATAGTTGGATATTTACAAAATTCACAATTTTATCTTTCCATTGATATGCAGAAGTCTATGTAACAAGCCTCCATTTTATTGTTTTATAGGGGTCAGTTTTGCATGTCCCTCACCAAGTAACGTCCTGATAACGTCATACATAAAACTGTGTTTTGCACCCTGGGTAAATAAAGTTATATAGGTAAATTAAGCTATATAAATATAGTGATTTTCCTGGACCTGTAGCCTATGGCACTGGCAGGTCCAGCACAATCTCTTGATTAACTCATCATTAAGCCTCTAAAAAGCATTCTACCACGATTATTGCAGACATCAAAGAAATTATTCTCCAAAAAAACACGAACGTCAACAAAAAAATTTTCAGATCGGAAACACATGTCAAACCTCTATAGTTGAAATATATATTTGATTCTAAAATGGAAAACTTGTTTTGACCACACAGATGTGTCGTCTTTTGCAGTCTGAACACTTTAAATTCAGTGTTTTCCCCAAGCTGTTTTTGCATGGCAGTACAGTCATGCATTCATGATCTCCCGCCATGCATCACATGTTGCCACCATGCTTCCCGCTATGCATGAATTAGGACCATTACATGCTTACTTTGGACTTTCAGTAAGGCATGGCATTCTTGACGTTACCTAATTAGCTTCTGAAATTTACAGCTTTCCTTCACTGTTGAAAAATACATATGATAAAAATGCGTCCAAATGTCAACTGGTGTAGTAAATAGCCAATTAAAAGTTCTCTCACAGCACAGAGGTGGGGCATAAGTCATCTCATCGTTTTCAACAACAATTGTAAGTTCCTGATG